GACTACTAGTTGATAGGACTATTGGATGCTCCATCCTTACCATTCTTAAACAAAAAAAAGGTATATCGAGTGATCCTACTACAGCCTATTAGAAGTAATGAAGCAATTTGTGAGAACAGGTCATAGATAATGCAGATGCATATAAAGCTGAAAAGACTACCACCCATATTTATCCGGCACATACATTAGGCAGACATGATGTTCCACTGCTGGCAAGCGAACTAGCAAAAACTAATGACTTGTTCTTCATTATATTTTTACATGCATTATTGAAGAAACAATGCAATAGTAAAGCAAATTACGAATGCATGCTCTGAATATGCAAAATAACCCAACTGTGCTTATTTCATCCCAAACGTACATCCAGTGCTAGTTTCATCCATTCTGTTTTATGATCCATGCAGTTCTATGCATCTAAATTTAGGCAAGTCTTTTTGCTGCACATGACCCTCCATAGTAAGTTCAAGGTAAAAATGTTAATGTGGGAACAAAGGTAACTGACTTATAAACCCCAAAGAAAAAATGTAGAAAAGAAAAGAGCCAGACATTAAAGGAAAAGAAGCATGGTAAAGCAAAAAGCTAATTAGAAGCCACCTGAATTAGGACAAAACCCACCCTCAATTCCCAGCGCAGTCCGCGCAGCCTCAATATACAATTCTTTTTCTCCTCGTCTTTGGCCAAAAAAACTCTACACCAACATACACCTCCCAAAGCAAAAAAAAGAAAAAAGAAAAAGCTTTCCACTCTTCTGGATACCTTTATTAATTATTTTAGCATGATTTGGTTTAGAGGTTTGATTTAGTACATTGGTGCTTTCATTCAAGCTGTAAAAGAAAGAAGTAGGAATAGAAAAGAGGAAGAAAATTTCGTGTCTGGAGTGAGGTGCAAAATTCTCATGGAATGAAAGCACCGAGGGAGGGAAGAGGTGCATTCCTTTGGTGGAAAGTCGATAAGCAATATTTAGGAGTATGCACAGACCTTTCCTCCTTGGCTTTCTTAAACTCTTATAAGGATCTCATGTCTAATCACATCACCACAGTTCTTCTTGAGCCTACATCTACCTCTCCTAACTCCTGCTAAAGCCAAACTCACACACCTTCTAACTAGTACATCCTCGCACCTCCTCTTCACATGCTCGAACCATTTCAAAATCACTTCTCTCATCAAAAAAATATGTCGTATTGTAGGACAAAAAGTCCCACACTCACACTAAATGACTTTGATCACAGATTGGAGGACAACCAAAGGCTCTGGGGACCTATCGATACATTACTCTATTACAATAAAAATTATGATTGAAAGAATATGCTTAATACAATGACCAGCAAATTTCATTACACGACATACAATATATGTTCCTTGACACAAGCACAAACCAAACATCAAGACAGAAATTCATAAAAATACTACAACCATCCTTTACCAAGACATATGTTCATCCTTGCCAATGATTACCAATATGGAATAAAAATATATCACAAGGTGATGTATACACAAAACAGTACTGGTATGGAATCAGAACATCAAAACTCAGCATATATATACTCACAAATAATCAATTCAATGAACACAAAGTGGAAACAACATAACAGCTTCTAACTGAGATGATTTCATCACCAAGTATCCAGTTTCCAAATAATCAGAGATACATTAAAACTTTTGAAAATAGCTTACCCCAGGCAACAGTGCACTCCTCGCTAGTGGCACTAGCTTGATTAGCTTGACATTCAATGCCTGAGAGAAAATTTCACACAACGAAACAAATAAATACACGATTAAGGTCAAATTTATTTTATCTAAACCATAATTTTCAAAGATACTCACAGAGATCCATGATATGGTTCCTGCAAATAGCACAGTTGTCTACAACAATATCTGCATCAACAATTTCACAAATCACGTTAGCTAAACACTAATTTTACACCATCAATCGATAAGAAACAACAAAAAATTCCTACTAGAAAAATCGTACCCCAAGCCCATAAAGAGACAGCGTTCCACTTTTTGATCTCAAAACGCTTGGGTTTCTTCGTAGAAGAAGAACAGCATGGAGCCGGAGGTGCGGTAACGGTGGATCCTTCATCGGCGGCATCCATCTCGACGTCTGTAGACATAGCTGAGAAATCAATCAAAAGAATACAAATCCAAAATTCTAGGGTTATCGATCGAACTTTTAATAAGAGGAAAGCAAAGTCGGTGAATGGAGTTATAGTGTCAACATGTTTGCGGGTAAATTTGTGTTAAAACCATGACCAAAAGGGTAAACTACTAATTTTGGGAAATTATTACGCCACAATTTAATGTTTTCTGATAATTATAATTCTTCCCACTTCTTTTTTTTTTTTTAGGAAATTGTCCAAATTTGTTCAGAATTGTTTTTTTTTTGTTTTTCTAATCCTTATTGGAATCCGATTAATTCAGACTTATTTTCACTTTCAGATTCCTACATGCTCAAACTATTATTATTAGCTAAATAATCTTTTCTTTTGTGTTTTACTGCACAACCAAAGCATAGTAAACAAATTTTAGAAAAAATTATAATTATGATTTTTTTGGTTGTAATATATATATATATAAACATTATGAGTCAAATTTAAATTAAAACAATAAAATTCTCTCTTTAAGATGAATGAATTTAGTATTTGAAATTATTTTTTCTAGTTAAACTATTGTTTAATATCATAAACAAACACAAATTTTAAATCCAAACTTTAAATCTTAAAGTTCTAACTTGAATGGCCTAACGGGCCAAAAGAAGATGGCAAATAAATAGTCCTAGGAATTATTCTGTAACTATCGAATAAAGTAGTAATTCTAATTAAGAATTCGGACAAAATAAAAAAGTACAATACCCTTCAACAAAAAAAAATTAGCCTTTCGAACGCAAAAGTATTTCAAAATTTTAGTGCTTTATGTTGAAAATTAACTCAAGGAATAAATACCTCTTAATGCGTGAGTAGATATTTAGAAGAAAGTAAGACACTCAAATTCACAGTCGAACTCTTCTAATACTTGGGTAGGCACGTGTCGTATAGAAAACTTGAATGATTTTCTGGGTTAAGAGAAGACTCTATTTATAGGGATCTTTATCCAGTCCAAAGCTGAAACGGAAAACACTTTCTCCCTTTTCCTTTTGAAATAGGATTTCAAGTTCTAGTTAAATATGGATTATAAAAACCACAAAATTAATTATTAGGCTTCCTATTATGGGAATAATTTCAGAAATTATTTGAATTATTCTTATGATAATAAATTAGAAATCATTCCACTAGAAATTCGTAGTTGCACTCTTCCGTTTATATTTTGAAATTGCCATTAAACACCTATGTAATTCTCCATGTTAAGACAAATACTAATCAATAAATTAAATTACTGATGACAATCTATTTTATTTTATCCAATTTATTTTATCCAATCTATATAATTTTTTATTTTATTTTATCCAATCCATGTTAAGACAAATACTATTTCACTGATATATAATTATCATCCAATCTATCGGACATATTGATCCATCTCAAAATCTTATCTATTAATAAACCAAAATGATAATTAATCTTCTATATATTAGCTTAAATTCAATAAAAAATACTATAACAAAACGCATGCTTAATAACATATTCTATTCTAAAACTGATTAAGTTAGATTAACACTTCTACGTCTTATTTTGAAGATTAAAATTTTATATTTAAGACTTAAATTTGAGTCCTCAGTGAGATCTCGGACACCCCCCCCAACAGTTTTCAATCATACATATGTGTGTGGACTGAAACTATTGATTTATTTCTGATCATGTGGAGATTTGTTTGTTTATTTTTTTCTTTCTTAGCTAAGTACACAAAATGTATCTTTATGAGGATACTGTCTTCTTATCTGGAAGCATAAAATAGTTAGACAGTTAATACTTGTATTTATTTTTGAGTTTAATTTAGTAAGTTACATGCATTATTATTTTTTATTAATAATATAAAAAGGATGACATTATCAATATAATTAAATTATTGATCATATAGTGTTACTGGTTTTTGTGGCTAGGTTACCAATAGGGTCGGATGCACCATATACGGTATGATTATAGAGGCAAGATTTACCGTTTATGAAGTTTTATAATAATATTAAACTAATTTATAATAATAACTAGCTAGGTCCACATACTTTTATTTGTCCACTATTCTAAAAATATATTTTTACTTTTATTTGTCATTTTTAGTGTATCAAAAGAAAATATATATTGTATAGTATTGTTAATTACTCTCTTCGTTCATTTGTATTTGTCCACTTTTCTAAAAATATATTTTTACTTTTATTTGTCATTTTTAGTGTATCCAAAAAATATATATATTGTATAGTATTGTTAATTACTCTCTTCGTTCATTTTTACTTGTCCACTTTTCTAAAAATATATTTTTACTTTTATTTTATCATTTTTAGTATATCAAAAGAAAATATATATTGTATAGTATTGCCAACTTATGCAAACTCAAAGTTATAACATATATATATTAGCTGAAACCAAGTTAAATAACATATTTATATATTTGTGCCTTAAATAATTATAAGTAAACTTTTTGGGGGTAAAAATGACACTCCTCCATATTTTATCTTGTGTTAGCTGTCTATGAAATTTCTACTTTCTTTTATTTGGTATAATTTTTTTTAGTCAAACCATATTCTAAAGTATATATCTTTTTAATTATATTAATCTGAAAAAAATATTATTTTAAAATATTAAATTAATAAAATCTACTTTAATTTTATAAAGTATAATCAAATAAAAACACATCATTTTTTTGGAGTACTAATTTGTCCTTACTATCTGTTAGAAGATCAATATATATACCATTTAATCCTTATTTTAATTTAAAATTAGGTAAAACTAATGAAAATGCAGGAGATGTGAACCTTAATTTAAGCAGAAAGCACATGCTCATTATTTGCAGCTCATCAATCCTCAAATTAACTATCTTCTCTCCAATTCATTTCCCAAATCCCAAAATTCATGGCTTCAAATCCTGCTAATATCGTCGAAAAAGCGCACCCAACCACCGTATTCCGATGGGGACCACTAGCTCGCCGGAAATTTTCATTCCGGAGGAAGAAGTTGCCGACGGTGCGTTTAGGAGGCGGGAAGAATAACAACAATCGCCGGAGATTCTCCGTCGCGAAGCTTTTCCGGCGAGTAAAATTGCGGTGGCTGAAGTTGCAGTATACGTGTTTGCTGAAAAAACTGAGAGAGTATTATCGGTCTGCGGTGAAAGATTTAATGGAAAATGGCGGAGCATTGGATTCGTTTCAGCAACGTTTACTATTGGAGACTTCTTTTGCCGTTCCGGTGATGGGACTTTCCTTCAATACTTTTCCAAATCACTATGGCACTTGAATCTATCTTTTTTTGGTAAATAGTATTTTTATTGTGAAATTTTTACTTGGATAAAAGTTTGAAAAAATTATGAGTGGAAATCTTTGTATTATTATTGAAATAATTCCAAAATAAAATCCTCAATAATGCATCATTTTTTCAAATGTTGAATAGTTTCACTACATATTCGTATGATCATTTTTATTTATTCAGTATTTTTTAAATAACTTTTCATTTATAACATATCAAAAAAAAATAATCATTATCTATTAAGTATTTATTTATTTTGTTATAACTATAGTCAACTACATGACATTTAATTATTGCAATGCATGTTTATACAATGCATGAATGTTTGTGCTGTTAGATGCTTTATGTTTGGGGTTGGTGACTCTCTATTTTGAGAGATTCGAATCGAAAATCTCAAATTAAGGATGAAAAGAGTATTTATCACCTTACCACAATTCAGATTGATATGTTTGGAAAGTTTATCCTAAGCAACACCTAAAATTCTAGGAAAGGTCAAAGTGGCTTCTGGTGTGAGCGAGCTAAATTATGGGTAACAAGTTGTTGTTTTTTCTAACTCGTTATTTGATATCTATATTAGAGTTCGATTAAATTATGATTCACGTATTCAAACTTTTGATTAAGAATAAGAAGGAATTCGAATCATTTCACCACTCATTCATGTTGATTGGTAAACAAATTACGAGAAGGTGTTATATAATCATAATGAGTATTTGAAAATATAAATACGCAATTAAGGTGCACAATGCACATGAAGGTGAACATACAGAATAACATGTATTTATTTTTATATACGAAATTCGTCCCTAAAAAAGTTGCATTGTAGCAGTTTATAGAGTATATATTTTAACGGTATATAATAAGATTTATATGCCTCAAAAGCAGTGGCGGAATCAAGATTTTTAATAACGGAGTTTAAAATCTGAGAAGTAAACACATGAACTAGTGGAAGGGGGTTCAACATCTATTATACATACCTAAAAAATAATTTTAACATTGTATAAATAGTAGTAATATTTTCTGCTGAGGGAGTTCAGATGAACCCCCTAAGTAAATGCTACCTCCGCCCCTGCTCAAAAGTATACAACGTACGTACCTACTTACTGAACATTTTACAAACATTAGTCTAATAACAACATATTCAATGTAATATCATAAGTGAAATTTGAGCAAGGTGAAGTCGTGTGCACAATCTTACTCCTATTTTATGAAGATAGAGAGACTATTTCTGATAATCCTCGACTCAAGTAAAATATATAAGAAAATCAAGAATGTAAAGTAAATATAGTAGCGAAGAAGTCATCCTAAAAACAATTAAAGAAGAGAACAAGTAGCAACAACAAATAGTACGACAATAAAAAAAAAAACTCTAAGTAATATTAAAATCGAAGAATAAGACAACAAGAGAGTAACCATAACAATACTGATAATACTAACATGGAACTAGACAATGCTAGACTATCTACTAACTTTCTACCATAATCTTCGACCTTCATATCTTCCTATCTAGGATAATGTCCTCAGTAAGTTGCAGGTATGTGATCATGTCCTTTCTAGCTAATCACATTTCCCAAATATTTATTTGGCTACCTCTTCTTATACACAATCTATAGTCAACTTTTCACATTTCCTTACTAAGATATATGTACATCTTCTCTTCATATGTCCAAACCATTTCACGTTCGTAACGTGGAAGTGGCAACTCACATTTTTATGTAATAATATACACCACTCGAGCCTAAAAAGGGGTGGGGAGAGTGTGACGGGATTTGAATTTGCAATCAACGTACGTGATGAGAAAGTTAAAATTCAAGCGTAACTTGTTTTTGAATCAATTACAGCTTTGAGCTTAGAAATATCACATGGCCTTGTCACTTCCTTTTTTTTGGTTTTGAAGAAAATCTAATAAATGAATTAAAAAGGTCATCTTTTCAAATGAACGAATTAATTAAGTTATAATCTTCTCTTCAACTCATGTCGAACCAAAAGGAAAAAAAGTATTATAGTAATTACTTATTTTGCCAAAAACATTTCTCAAGATCTACGATTATACATCAATTAATTAAGTGATAATCTTCTCTTCAACTAATCTCGAACCAAAAGGAAAAAAAGTATTATAGTAATTATTACTTATTTTCCAAAATCATTTCTCAAGATCCACGATTATACATAAATTAATATAAGTATTGTGGTAAAATATTTATATTAATCACTATTTCTTAAGGAGTGTGTAAAATTTGAAATAGACAAATAAAAATGAACGGAGAGTAAGTAATTAGTAAGGTTAAAAGAGACAAAAGTCAGCTACACTGAAAAATGTACCATTTGTTTTTGTTTTGATGACATGGTAGGGCAACTTACATTTCTTAATAATCTTTACGAAAAGAAAATACTTAGTTAAGTATAAGGGTGAGGAGAATATTGCACTCCAACTAATTAAACTATGTAATAAATCTCAGGTATTTCTATAGCCTTCTAGAATATTTCATTTGTTTGGTAAATTATATCATCACTTGAAGTTTTTCTAATTGAATTAAAGTCGTGAAACATTTCAATTTTTTAGATCTATTGGTCGCTTTGACAGGTTCTCAAATCAATCCGTTTGGGCCTTTAGAAATTCCATAGGAGTGTCAATCAACCGAGTTATCAAATATAATGAAATTTGTAGATCTAGTGACCGATGAATACAAATTTTAAAGAATAAATTTAGGAGAAATTCTTCATTGTTATCGATATAACTGCCCTATCGTTTTTCATTCAGTGATTTGATTCTTCCAATAGATACGAAAAAATATTGTAACTCAAACTATAGGTATCTATTTAGATAGTTGTATTTATATATTTTTTTAGTTTGCTCATAACAAGTTGTAATATGAATAAAATAAAATAAAAGCTCTATATAACTTATGACTTATATAATTATAAGCATAACTCATAAGTTACAAATTCTAATTTGTGATCTAATTTGACTTATTTTTGTTATTTTAACTTAAAAATAAGTGCTTAAAATTATTATTTTTATTTACCCTTAACGCTATAAAAGTCTCTAAAAATTATTGAATTAAAAACCTCCAAAATAAGCCAATCCAAAAAGGACTCTTATTTTGGACATTATAGAACATGTTAATTGTCACCATTGATTTTATTATTTTTTATAATATAAGAAGGAATCAAAAATCAGGACCACTTAATATAATATAAAGAGCCATGTCATTATGTCAATATGTATCTGGTTTTGTCCTTATGAAGATCATCAGAACAGAACTTGTCCCTAATCAGACCATATTATATATATAATTTATAATTATTGATAAGATTAACATAAAAACCCGTTGAATAAGCTCTTTCATTTTGAAACGCAAGTTATGACAACACTGACATAAGAGATGCTTGTATTTTAAAAGAAAACAAATGGAAGGGTCAGTCAGACTTAATAAATACCTCCTTAGCCAATGTGTTTTGTGATTAATTAATTAAATTGTCTTTATAAGGCGCAAGTAAAAGTATATCCATCCAGATAAGACCTCTTATTAAAATTTGGCTTTAAGTCACTAATTTTATTGAACCACTGTGTTATTGAACATCTCACCAACCCTCAGAGTCTTAGACTTCGACAATTATTAGGACCACAAGGAACAATGAAACAAAGAGGAGAGAAGAATAATTCTTATCGTTTTCACTTTTCATAATAACTTTTTCTTGTTCAAACAACTTTTTAGAACTTATAAAAGTCATAAGAATGTTCTATGTACATTGCTTTCAACAACCAAAACGAAAACACTAAAAGGATCTTGTCCAAAACTGAGACTAAAATGTAAACTAATTTAACAAAAAAATACATTTGGAGTACTTCATTATACAATCTATTCACATATGTTTTACATTTTTAATCTATTTTCCCTTTCTTCTCTTCATTGCGATTAATCAACAAGAATTTAATTTGTTTGTTCTTTCGTGCCTTACAGTCTTTTGATACAAATGAGTATCTGAGTAAACAGAAGCATCAGTCTTTAGCCTGTGTTTATGCCTGTGTCCGGCTCTCCGTTGCTTAGCATTACCATCCTCTCTGTTTTCCCCTGCATTTCCTACTTCTTTTTCCCTTACATTCGCCTTGTTTTCATCGTCCACTTTACTCTTCAATTCACCAATTTCCGTTCCCTTGTCAGGTTTTGAGGAGGGGACGACGTAAACAAATGGGCCCATTGGTATATCCTTCATGTCCAAGACTGGCTCCAAGATCTTCACTATGTTGCTCATAGTGGGCCTAGACCTTGGCTGGTGGCTTAAGCATTGATAAGCCAATGCAGCAACCTTCTTTGCTCCTTGTGTCGAGTACTGACCTTCAAGTCGTGGGTCCATTATTCTGTCAAGTTTGTGTGGATCCCTTAACATTGGTCTTGCCCAATCCACCAGGATTCGCTCTTTGAGGGGGCGTTTCTTGTCCATGGCTTGTCGTCCTGTTATTAGTTCTAACAAAACTACTCCGAAGCTGTACACATCGCTCTTGCTTGTCAAATGACCTGTTTAAAGAAAATGAAAGTTTTAAGTATTCGTAATAAGTGGTAACACGATAAATGAGACATATAACATGTTACAACAGGTTAAAATACACTGATAATGTAAAAAATTACCAGTCATGATGTACTCTGGAGCAGCGTAGCCATGAGTGCCCATCACACGAGTCGAGACATGTGTGTCATCGCCTTCTGGTCCATCCTTTGCTAGCCCGAAATCAGATAGTTTGGCCCTGTAATCCTGATAATTCATAGCATTATAAGTTTCTAGCTTTGACTTCATCATGAAAAAAGAGTTGAACTTTTCAATGTCAAAACAATACTTCATAGACAACTTACCGAGTCTAAGAGGATGTTAGAAGCCTTAAAATCACGGTAGATTACTGGCTTTTCTTCTCCGTGAAGAAAAGCCAGTCCCTTTGCAGCACCAACCATAATTTTTATTCTGGTCAACCATGGCAAACAACTCGAATATCCTGT